CACTCATATAGTGCTGGTAGAACTGCAATTTGATGCAGCCACTCTGGAAAGCAGTATGGATAGTCTTCAGAAAACTTGGAATGGAAACTAGCATTTGACCCAGTTTTCCCACTCCTTGGCATATACCCAAAGGACTTAAAAATAGCATACTATAGTGACACAGCCATATCAATGTTTATAGCAGTTCAATTCCCAATAGTTAAGCTATGGAACCAACCTAGGTGCCCTTCAATAGAAGAATGGATAAAGAAAATGTAGCATTTATACAGAATGAAATACTAACTGAGCCATAAAGAAGAGTGAAATTATGGCATTTGCTGCTAAACTGGATGAAACTGGAGAATATTATGCTAACTGAAATAAGCCAGTCCCCCCCAAAAAAAAACAAAGACCAAATATTCTCTGATATGTGGATGCTAACTCACAATAAAGGGGGAGGGGGAATAATAGAAATTCATTATATTAGACAAAGGAAAGTGAAGGAAAAAGAGGGAGGATTGGAATAGGAAAGACAGTAGAATGAATTGGACATAACTTTCCTATGCTCATATTTGAATACACGACTAGTGTGACTCCATGTATATATGGTACATTTTACTGTCATGTATAACTAAAAGGAACAAAAAAAATAAAGAAGTATTCAGAGCAGAAGGAATATATGTGGAAGTGTAGAGGTGACAGATCATGTGCATTCAAGACCCCAGTTGAAACCAAGAAGGATTAGAGAACACTGTAGAGAAGAGGAAGACTGACACTAGAAAGTTAGGTGGTGTCAAGGTTTAAGTTATTTTTCAAAATTACCCTAAGGACAGGAGAAAGAGGTACCAAAGGATTTTAAAATGCAAAGAATGCATGATCAGATTTTTTTTTAAGATTGATTTACCACACAGAATACATCAAGATTGAATCATGAAGAAATAAGAAGCCTGAACAGAGCAATAACAGGTAATAAAAACTTAAATTAGTAATAAAAAACTTCCCATGTAAAAGCCCAGGACCAAAAGGCTTTGCCGCTGAATATTTTAAAAACTAGTACCAATTCTCAAGTTACTCCAAACAATGGAAAAAGAAAACATTCTTCTAAACACATTCTATGAGACCAATATTACCCTGATACTAAAAGCAGAGAACACACTAAAAGGGGAAGGGGGCAATATTTTTGGATGAACTGATGCAAAAGAATTCCTCACAAAAATACTAGTAAATTGAGTTTTATAACACATGAAATGATTTTAAAGATTATACAGAGCAATCAGGAAGACAAAGAAATCTAAACAGCTTCCAAATTGGAAGAGGGATCCAAATTGTCTCTTTATAGATGACATGATCTTCTAGAGAGAATGCCCAAAACTTTATCAAAAAAATAAAAATAAATGAATCCAGCAGATTTTCAGGATACAAATCAGCATGTGAAAAATCATAGCTTTGCTCTATGAAACAGAAGAAAATAATCCCATTTGTGATATCTATAAAAAAATAACTAAGAATAAATTTAGCCAAAGAGGTGAAAGATCTCTTTAATGAAAATTATAAAACATTGAATTAAAAAATGGGAAAACATCTCATATTCATGGATTAGAAGAATATTGTTGAAATGTCCATACTACCCAAAATGACTTAGGCATAGAATTTTTATAGGCATTACATTGAATCCTATATTTACCAGATTTTTTATATAAATGGAATCTCACACACACGCGTGCGCGCGCGTGCACACACACACACACATATCTTGATCAAAAAGAACAAAGCACAAGGCATTATACTACCTGACTTAAAAATATACTACAAAATAGCATGGTATTATCATAAAACCATAGGAACAGAATGAAGAAAGCATAAGTAAACTCAAGTGTAACCAACTAGTTTTCAACAAAGATACTAAGAAAATACGTTGAGAAAAGGATAGTCATTTCAATAAGTGGTGCTGAGAAAATTAGGTATTCAAAAGTGAAAGAATGAAACTAGATTCCAGTCTATCACCAGTTACAAAATGGATTAAAGAATTAAATGTAAGACCTGAAACAATGAAAGAACTAGAAGAAAACGTAATGGAAAATAGATTTTGGATAAAGCACAGGAAATTAAGGCAAAAATAGATAAATGGGATTACATTAAATGGAAAAGCTTCTGCACAGCCAAGGAAACAATTAACAGAGTGAAAAGACAACCTAAAGAATGGCAGAAAACATTTGCAAATTACACACCAGACAAGTCCTTGATATCTAGAATACATAAGGAACTCCAAAAACTCTATAGCAAAATAAATAAATAAAGATAAAATTTTCTCCACAAAAGACGTACAAACAGCCAATTGATTTATTTAAAAATGCTCAACATCACTAATCATCAGAGAAATGAGAATCAAAATCACAATGAGGTATTACCTTACCTAGTAAGAATGTCCATTATGCAAAATATTAAAGATAATAAGTGCTGGCAAGGATATGGAGAAAGGAGTGCTTGAACATTTATTGGTGGAAATATAAATTAGTACAGTCATGGTTCTACAAAATATTAGAAATAGCAATCCCACTACCAGGTATATAGCCAAAGGAAATGAAATTTATATGTCAAAACAAAACACACCCATGTTTAATTTACAACACTATTTCCAATAGACAAAAAATGAAATCAACCTAAGTATCCATCAATCAATGGATAAAGAAAATATGGTACATATAGACAATGGAACACTAATCCTGTCATTTATGACAACATGGATGGAAATGGAGATCATTATGTTAAGTGAAGGAAACCAGTCACAGAAAGACAGTTTTTGCATCATCTCTCTCAATATGGAGTCTAAACAAATTGATCTCAAAGAAGTGGTAGTTACCAGAGTCTGGGGAGAATAAGTGGGAGGGAGGAATGGGGGAAGGTTGATCAGTGAATGTTATATTACAACTAAATAGGCATTCTGTTGTATTATCACACAGTAGGGTAACTATAGACAAACAATAACCTACTATAGTTCAAAAAGCTAGATTTTGAAATGTTTTTACCATAAAGAAATGATAAATGTTTGAGATAAATATGTTTAACCTGATTTAAACACTACACAATGTATATATGTAGTGAAATATCACCTGCTACTCCATTAATATGTACAATTTGTTTTATATACTAATTCAAATTTTAATTTAAAAATAATTTTTTAAAGATTTATTTAACTGTAATGAAAGGTAGACTGAAATTAAGAGTAAAGTCAAATAAATTAGTAAACCATTTAGTAATTAGGGCCAAAACAGATAGCTTCCAGAGTGGGGCACTTATAGAGGGTGTGGAAAGAAAAGGACAGATTCAGAAAGTAATTCTTGGAAGTGGCAGGACTTGATAATTGGTGGCATGTGGAAAGTTACTGAGAATGAGCCAAACATATCTCCCCAGTGTTTAATTAGGCAACTACGATCCTCAGTACTACCAATTATGATATGAAATCCTAGGGAATAGTGTTTCTCCTCAAATCAGAAGAGGAAATTATGAGTTTATCTCAGTATATGTATATGACATAATCAAGTTGTAGCTTAGCAAATTTTTATACTGACTATTGAAATTTAAAACTTGGTGAAATTTCTAGAAGAGGTCTTAGAAGAATTACCTTACCAGGAGATTAGAAGAACTCTTTAAACTTTAACTTGCATTTTTTAAGGCCAAAATATTTCATAAACTTTTATATTGTCTGTGTATTACATCAGTGGTATAATAGAATATTGAACTTAAATATTACATAATTCTGGTTTTTAACTCCAGCTCTTTAAGAAAGTTGCTTTTTCAATGCAACCTTACTATAAAACTAATGAAATGGTTATTTAAAACTATTAAGACACAGTCTCCTAGAACATCCTAGTACCCAAACCATTTCCTAAGTTCAATATGGCCAAAAATGATCCTAACTCTTCCAACTATGTTCCTTTGACCTTGAACTACAGAGTTCTTTCATTTACAGATGCTTCTCAATTTGTGATGGGGTTATGTTCCAATAAAACCCCATTACAAGTTGAAAATATTGTTAAAGACATTTAAGATGCCTAATCTACTGAACTAAATAGTGCAGCAACACAGTACTGTAGCATATCAGTTATTTATTATTGTGATCCTGTGGGCTGACTGGGAGTTTCAGTTTCCAAGAGGGTCTCTTAATACACATATTGCCACACTTAAGAAAAATCAAAATTCAAGATATGGTTTCTTCTGAATGTAAGGTCAAAAGGTTATGATTTAATTCATCATAAGTTGAAGATCGGCTAGCATATGTTAAAACTTGAAGGTACTATATAATATTTATAAGATTGCTTATATTTTGTACCAAGTATAAACTATGGGGATATAGATTGGCATGAAAGCAAAATGTTGGAAGAGCTATGAAAGCAAAAATACATTGCCATTAGTGTAAGTTAACAGTAGAGAAATTAAAATAATGAGCACTAAGAAATATGAAATTAATATTACCTAGGGAACTATATTTTCATTTTCAGAATTTCTTCAGTTGTTACCAAAGTTACTTTAGAGTGAGATATTAATTTTTTTTTGTTCCTTCAACTCCATAAAACATGTTAAAGTTTTTTTTCATTTAAATTGTTGAACTTTGTTCTACTCTGTAAAAGATGATGCTATAATTCCAAGCAGGAAACACATGTTTGCTCTCTAGTTAATGCATTTCTTTCCGCTTCTTAGAGAAATAATGACTTTTTTGACTTTTTCCATTATATTTCTATTAAATCTAATGCCAGGGCACCTGGGTTACATAACTGATGGCATTTGTGTGTTTTCCTAAATTATTTGCTAAAAATGAGAATTCAGTCTAAAGTTCACAGTGAACACTTCTCCAGATCTTATATTTTTTATTCTCCAATAAAATGCCATGATCTGTTTTCATAGTATTTAGAATACATAGCCACAATGGAAAGTGTTATCTTTGTTCTTATGGTATAATATCTTAACTCCTGACATTTCAGGATTTAATATATATTTTAATGACTTGTACATTTCCATGGCAGATCAATGGCTTATTACTGGAAGGATGCAGTTTTGATGGAAATCGGCTTTCTGAAAACCAGCATGATTCTCCCAGTGTATCATCAGTTCTCCCTTGTTTTATGGGCTGGATTCCACAGGTAATAATTTTTAAAGGAATAATTTTTTATTTCATCAATTAATTCTTAGATTTTTATCTTTTCAATAAGATTATCGGCTGTGTACTTCTATTTTATTTCTAATCTTACTTGCATTTGAACAAATTTGTAGTCAAAACATTTTATCCTTTATAAAAGATGCACAGAATGTGCACCAGTTAGGTTTGGAAAGAATATATTCCTTTTATGTTCATCAAGAAATGATCATAAAAGGAACATATCATATGTGTTAAGTGTTTCATGTACTTTATTTATTTTTTTTTAATTTTTTATTGTTGGCTGTTCAAAACATTACATAGTTCTTGATATATCATATTTCACAATTTGATTCAAGTGGGTTATGAGCTCCCATTTTTACCCCATATACAGATTGCAGAATCACATCAGTTACACATCCATTGATTTACATATTGCCATACTAGTGTCTGTTGTATTCTGCTGCCTTTCCTATCCTCTACTATCCCCCCTCCCCTCCCCTCTTCTCTCTCTGCCCCCTCTACTGACATTCGTTTGTCCCCCTTGTATTATTTTTCCCCTTCCCCTCACTTCCTCTTGTATGTACTTTTGTATAACTCTGAGGGTCTCCTTCCATTTCCATGCATTTTCCCTTCTCTCTCCCTTTCCCTCCCACCTCTCATCCCTGTTTAATGTTAATCTTCTTCTCATGCTCTTCGACCCTACTCTGTTCTTAGTTACTCTCCTTATATCAAAGAAGACATTTGGCATTTGTTTTTTAGGGATTGGCTAGCTTCACTTAGCATAATCTGCTCTAATGCCATCAATTTCCCTGTAAATTCTATGATTTTGTCATTTTTTAATGCAGAGTAATACTCCATTGTGTATAAATGCCACATTTTTTTTATCCATTCATCCATTGAAGGGCATCTAGGTTGGTTCCACAGTCTAGCTATTGTGAATTGTGCTGCTATGAACATCGATGTAGCAGTGTCCCTGTAGCATGCTCTTTTTAGGTCTTTAGGGAATAGACCGAGAAGGGGAATAGCTGGGTCAAATGGTGGCTCCATTCCCAGCTTTCCAAGAAATCTCCATACTGCTTTCCAAATTGGCTGCACCAATTTGATCAATTGTGCAAGGCAGATACTGTGCCCATTTTCCAATGAATAAATGTGTGCCCATGAAGGTTAGAGAACTTACTGCAGTTGGGCACACCAAAAGTGACCAAATCAATGTGTTAATACACACCTGGTACTATCACACCATGACCTTATATTGCTGATAGGTAGATGGAAAATAAAACCTTCAGTTATTGGAAGAATTTTCAACAATGGTATCAGGATGCAAGCATGCCTTTAAAATAGAATATAGTTGTAGATGAAGAATCCAAGTATGAACATATGTGAACAAACTATAATCCTGTACCTAAATAGTAATAAAACTATTTCATGTATTGCTCACTATATGAAATATTAATTTTCTCATTGGGGAATAATGCATCAACTTTTCTATTATAGGTCTCAAGAATCAAAAATATCTGAATATTTTTTGGAAAAAAAAAACTATACCTGTAGTAATAATTTAGTCATCATACTCAAGAGCCAGAATAGAATCCTCTGACCTAAAAGAGCATACATTATTGTATGACCTCCTATTTTTTCCCATCTCATATTCATTTTATGTAATATGAAATTAACTATCAGATGAAAAGAGGTTGAAAGAATTTTTTTCAATCTTTCTATTAATTCCTAATGAGAAATTCCTACCAAAAAGTTGATAAATTAAAGATTATGCATTTTTAAAAAATCTTAGATGTGTTTACCAAAAGGAAAGTTATATGCAAAAGTTAAGGTTAGAATTTGTCAAGGGTTTAAACTACATCATGTAAAGTTGTGTATGACCTAGGTGAATTCTAATGAATACAATTATGTGAAATACTTACTCTTTGCCAAATAAAATCCACATAATGACTTTGATGAGGTCATAAACAAATTAGACAAGTGTTAACTGATTCACTGAAGAGAAACCCCAGCAATAAAAATAGAGCATGAAGAGTGACTAGAATAAACATAGTAGAAAATGACCTGGAGCAATACCCACATAATTGACCATAAAGTAAAGGCAAAGCAGGAAGCCAAAGCCAGCCTATTACTGGGTTGTATAAAAAGCCCTGTGACTCTACAAGACTAGGAGTTGATACCTTTGTAACATTTTACTTCAGGTTTCATATCTACGCAGTTATATTTTTCATCCTTTAAAAGAATCAGTGTTATAATGAAAAACTAAAAATATGAAAAATAGCTATTTCATGTAAAAAAAGGTAAAATGAATTGAGTAATCTATGAAGAGCAGGTAATATGAAATTTTTTTAAAGAGAGAGAGAGGGAGAGAGAGGGGGAGAGAGAGAGAATTTTTTTAATATTTATTTTTTAGTATTTGGCGGACACAACATCTTTGTATGTGGTGCTGAGGATCGAACCCGGGCCGCACGCATGCCAGGCGAGCGCGCTACCGCTTGAGCCACATCCCTAGCCCGGTAGTATGAATTTTTTCATGGCATTTCGTGAAAGGATTTATTGATTCTTCCCCACTTTCCTCTCCACTCCCTTCCTTTACCACTGTAGAGACCCCCTCTTTGCACACAGCCTATGGCTTTCAGACTCTCAACTAAGGAGGATATGGGACATATTTATTGCTAATTGTTCCTGAGCAAAATATTTTGGTGTCAAGCAGAACTTAATTCCTGTGCCAGTTCCCAAAATTATGAACTAGGTGGGTTAGGCAAAATAACCCCACTGAATCAATTTTTTCATTTGAAAATGTGGATACTGATAATTCAAGAGGACCATGTTGAGGATTAAATAAGTTCCTATGTATATAAAGTACAAAACACAGTGTCTCACACATGGTAAGTCTTAATTTATTCTATTGCAAATATTTTAAACATTTTAAAAGTATGACAATACTTATTTTATATAGTGCCTTATGGTTTACTGATCATTTTACTTATATAAAAACAGCAAGTATTTAATGATATCAGATATATGCTGAACACTGGGCTTACAATGATAATTTCTACCAAATTCTTCTATTGAATGGGGCAGCAAATAAGAAATTATTTCAGTTCAGAAATATAAATGTAGTTATAGACATTTATATACAAGTGCTTAGAGAAACCTCACCTCTACTATCTGTGAGCAAATGAGGGAAAGTCAAATGACCTTGTGACTTGAAGTATGGTTAATGAAAGTTCAAGGACAAATTCAAAAAGTGGGTAAGGTTGTTTAGATAGAACAGGCAACAGATGTAAAGGTGTAGAGGTAGAAAATAAATTAGGTTATTCTTGGAAACACAGGTATAGTACATTTGGAGTATATGTTCATTTGGAAGGCTGGTAGGGGTTGTGGTCAGATAGGAAGGCCAAGACCAAGTGTGATAAGCTGAGTAGCTGTGCCTAGGAGTTTAGACTACCTTATGGTCAGTACAAAATTTTTAAGAATTAGAATAAGAGCATGATAAGATTAAACTTCTAGTTTTGGAAAATCAGTCTACAATTGAGTGAGTGGATACAGATTGGCACAGGGTGAAATACAAATATATTTGTCTCTTCATATCAATCCTATAAGTTTTGTAGAGCAGGTTCTGTTTTGTTTTGATGAAGAAACTGAAAAATTAGGTAAATGACTTTTTATGTCATAATTTGAGTAATAATCAGCATTTCTTTGTACTGATTATGTACCAAGCATTGTGTGAAGTGTTTACAAGATATTTAAACCTTGCAAAAATTTTTGAAATAAAGATTATCATATCCTTTGGGGGAAAAAAAAAACAGGTTTATAAGATTATATAAACGGCCCAAAGATCAAATGATTAGTAGATAAGCAACTGAAATTCAAATCCAGGTCTGTCTTTCATAAACTTTTGGCCTAATACAGAACCATAATAAGAGTTTAAACCAGGGCTTGGAAAACTATAGCCCAAGGAACCAAATCTGGTTTTTGCTGCCTGGTTTTGAATAACCCATGAGTATTGAATGTTTTTTACATTTTTAAAAAGTTAGAAAACTCAGAAGAATAGCATTTAATGACATGTTAAATTTCCATGAAATTTAAATTTCAGTGCCCATAAATAGTTTTATTTGGAAAGTAACCACGCCCATTTGTGGACATATTGTCTAAGGCTTCTTTGAGGCCATAACAGCAAATTTGTGTTGCTGCATCAAAGACAAGGCAGCCCATAAATCCTGAAATGTTTCCTCTCTGGCCCCTTATAAAAATGTTTTCCAACCCTGTATAAACTATTAACCTCTCCAACTTCTGCTTCAGTTAAGCAGTGCTTTGTTTCTAAAAGTGTCTTTTTAGGATAACTATGGCTATTTTTAATAAATTCTACAGAATTTGGAGTAGACAGGGAATGTCAACTTTTTAATGAATTTTTACTATTAGGGAAGAAACCAGTGTAAAACCAAAAGACCATCAACATCAATTTATATAAGCCAGTAAAACAAGTTACTTTTGACTTCCTTCTACTTTCTTCCTTCCTTTGTTGTAGAAAGTCCAGAATTTTTTAATAAGCTTGGGGAAATAATACAATTCAGAACTTTGGTGACTAAATGTTTTTAGATCAGATAGAGGTTTCTTCTCAATGAATTATTTTCACAATATTATCTGTCATCCAGTAGCCCCAAGTAGCTACATTCCAGCAGAAATTTGCCTCCTAATCCAGTCCTTTGCACAACATTATTTCATGGTTGAACCTCCATTTTTCATAGAACATTTTAGGCTGCAAAAAATTGTAAAACTGCTTCAATTATTTTAATATATGGTGATATTTTAATACGGATATCAACAACAAATTCTAAGACTTTTATTGGGGAAGAGAAAACTCCTATATTGCTTGTGTTTAAATGCATTATACTTGGTAAATTAACAAAATTGAAATTATAAACAAGGAAACTTTAAAGTAACCAAGTTGATCATGAACTTTTTCTGAGTGCTTCCTTCTGTTTACTAGATTATTTGTGTGTA